GGGAGGGGTTCGAACGGTAGTGACCCCCCCGGTTTTCGAGCGGGAGGGGGGGGGGGGGGGGGAGGGGTTAGGGGAGGGGGGGGGTTTGCCGGGGGAGGGGAGGGGGGGGGGGGGAGGGGTTCGCAGGGGGGGGGGGATTTTCGGAGGGGGGGGGGGGGCGACCGGGTTCTGGAGGAAAAGGTGGCAATTTTCACAGTAAAGGGCGGTATATCTAGCCTGCGTATACGGGGTATGGTATGTATACACAGTTCGGATGGGATGGCCCAGACGGAACCCCTATCGACCAGCCTGAGGGGGGAGTATGAGTATATTCGAACAAGAGTAGTGATTCGAGCTCACGTTAGGATTGGGGTCAAGGTTAGGGTGTAGGTCTGGGATAGGATGAGGATAGGGGTGTGGGGGTAAGGGTTCGGGTGAGGGTTAGGGTGAGGGTCGGGAATAAGTTTAGGGTTAGGGGTCTGGGGTTCCTGATTAAGGTTAGGTTTAGGGGGTTACGGAGTTAGGGTTAGGGGGTGGGGGTCCAGAGCAAGGTTCCAGAATGAACGGGGGGAAGGGGGGGGTCCGAATTTCGAACCCAAAAGGCGGGGAGGGGGGGGGGTCGAACCCCCCCGCCCTTCTAAAGGAGAGGGGGAGGGTCCGCCGACGTCGGATCGGGAAGGGTGGGGGTCGGGGGGGGTGGTCCGCCGACGTCAGACTGGGGAAGGGGGGAGGGGTCCTGGACCTCCTCCTCCTCCTACTCCACCTCCTCCTCTCCTCCACCTCTTCCTCTCCTCCTCCTCCTCCTCCTCCTCCTCCTCCTCCTCATCCTACACCGTCCTCCTCCTCCTCCGGGCCCCCCCCCCCCCCTCCCCACCTTTCTTTCCCCGGTCCGTCGTCCCAGTACCCCCCCCCCTTCCAGCTTGGGGGCGTCCAGCGGCGCGCCTCTTTTTGGGGCGCCTTGGAGCAATATTGGCTCAGAAGTTGTTCAAGGACGCCCGATAGCAGCAAGCACATCCACCACACCATTGCGTGATGTGTTTCAGCGGTTTGACTCAGATCGTTGCCAATGGGGATTCCAAGCTGTTCGTTTTTGCACTCTAGACCTACGTTCGATCTGGTGCAATCTATATAGCACAATATGTATTTTGTAAACTGTGTAGTGCATGCTAAATGTTGTAAACTACGTGGTGCGAAATATGTGGAGCAAGCTATGGGATTTAGAATATGCCGTGCAAGCTATATGTGTATTCCATCTGGCTCAATTAAGTATGAGAAACTTGAACTTGCCAACCCACTGTTCGCACAACTATCTCACCCTCCCATTCGCAACTTGGTTGGCAAACCCCATTCGGCCACGATCGCGGTTTTTGAATGGTACCTGCTAGCGCATCTTTACGGCCGCGCTGGCGCGTGCGCGCGCGCGCAGTCGCCGCGCAGAGCGACAAAATGGTTTGGCTCAACCGATGTGGCCGCGATGGTGCTTACCGGAGGGAACTTCTCAGCGCGTCTCACACGCCGCGCTGGCGCTCGGGCACTTCACTGCGGGTCGGTGACTCAGGCGGGTGCGACATGGTTGCTGATACCGAGAATGGCGGCAACGGTGATGATAACAGCGATGGTGGTAGCGATGATGACGAGGACGACGGAGAGGCCAATGACGGCGCCGATGCTGGTGACAACGGTGACGAAGATGATGTCCATGTGTAGGTGAAGAGGGTGATTGTGTTGATGGTTGCGGCATTGGCGGCGATCGGCGGGGATGCGATGGCGCAAACGATGGTCATGCGGAAGTGCGCGCGCAGGAATTAAATATATCTGGCAGAGTCGTTGTTGAAAATTCGTTGGTTGGTTTCTCCTATTGTTGAAGAGCTCTATTTGGAAACGTTTCGACAAGAGCGCGTGTCGGCACGCGCATCTGGCCCGGGAGACTCGTGCGTTGAGTGCATGCGAAACGCGGATTCCCCGCGTATTGAAACGAGTTCGTTTCGGCAAAATTGCGTGCGGTCAGGGCGCTTGCAATATTTTCTATGGTCGACCAATGGGTTTCGGAGGGGTTCGGTGTACATGTTTTCAGAAGTCCGGTGTTTGCGTGATTCCGACATGTGCGCGCGCGTGCGGAGTCTGCGGCATTTCAGAACCCCGAATCATCAGGGGTAACTCGGGTCAGGGCTAACTCGGGTTCGTTGTTCGGGAATCCGAACCCGACTTACCCCGGACCCGAGTTACCCCGGATAACTCGGGCGTCCAGAGCCCCGAATCATCAGGGGTAACTCGGGTCAGGGGTAACTCGGGTTCCTTTTACGGGAATCCGAACCCGAGTTACCCCTGACCCGAGTTACCCCGGATAACTCGGGCGCCCAAGTATTTCCCCACACAGTGGCTTTTTGCCTGGAAGTTCTTTGTTGCCTCGCCAGTCCGGCGGGGGATTTTGACGTCGTCGCCCCGTTGCCGCCCCGTGCGCCGGGTGTGTCCGGCGAACTTGCCGCCACGCTGCCGCCCGTTGCCGCCATTGTTGCCGCGCCGTGTTGTGTGTGCGTGCGTGCGTCGCGAGATTTCGCCGTGTCGTCGCGTCGTGGCCGCCTCGTTGCCGCTCCGTGGCCGCTTGGTGCGCTGGGTGGGTCCGGCGAGCTCTCGCCACGCTGCCGAAAGCTGCCGCCCAGTTGCCGGCCGCTGCCGCCTCCATTGCAGCGTCGTGCGCAGGGTGGGATCGGCGAGGTTTTGCCGCGTGACCGCCCGTTGCTGCCTAGTTGTTGCCTCGTTGACACGGGGTGCGCTAGGTGGGTCTGGCGAGGTTTCGCTACGTTGCCGTCTCGTTGCCGCTTCGTGGGCGCCTCGTGCGCTGGGTGGGTCGAGCGGGGTTTTGCCACGTTGCCGACCGTTGCCGTCTCGTGCGTAAGGCGTGCCTGGCGAGTTTTTTTTCACGTTGCCGCCCGTTGCCGCTTCATCGCCTCGCTGCCGCGGGATGCGCTGGGTGGGTCTGGCGAGGGTTGGCCACGTTGCCGTCTCGTTGCTTCGTGGCCGCCTGGAGCGCTGGGTGAGTTCGACGCGGTTTCGCCACTTTGCCGCCCGTTGCCGCCTCGTTGTCGTCTCGTGCGCTGGGTGGGTCCGACGAGGTTTCGCCACGGTGCTGCCCGTTGCCGCCTGGTTGTCGCCTCGTGCGATAGGTGTGTGTGTGTGTGTGTCTGTGTGTGTGTGTCTGTGTGTGTGGCGAGGTGTTGCCTGATTTCGGCCCGCTGCGGCCTCGTACGTTAGGCAGGTCGTGCGAGGTTTTGCCATGTTGCCGCTCGTTGTCGCGTCGTTGTCGCCTGGTTGGGTTAGCAGAACACTCCAAAAGAGTCCTCTTCCTCCTCCTCGTCCTCCTCCTCCTTGTCCTCCTCCCTTCCTCCTCCTCGCCCTCCTCCTGCTCGTCCTCATCCTGCTCCCCTTTCTCCCTCCCTCCCTCCCTCCTTCGGCCCATACAAACTGTTGCCACCATGGCTGGGCACATCCGCTTCAAGAGCCTCTTGGCCTCTCTCGGCGGCCTCGGTGGCCTGCCCTGGCCGTTTGGGAAGCCGTCCTGGGCACCGCCGAGGCCCTGCAGGCGAGCGCCAGGAGCGTGTCCGGGCGCGGACCGCCTCGGAAAGCGGGGGCGATGCATGCAGCCGGGTGCGTCCATCGGGCCAGAGGCGCCGACCCCGGAGGCCCCGGCGCCCATCGAACAACTCCGTGCGGAGCTCTGGAATCGTGTGTTCACGTCGTCGTTGTCTGTTCCTCGAGCGAGGCCATCGGGGCATGAGTCGGGCCGAGCGAAGGGGAGGGGGATCGGGAAAGGGGGGGCTACGGAATCTGCTGCATGAAGCTGGTTTCGGCCTCAGCGAGGGGCCCATGCCTCGATGAATAGCCGCCTCCGGCGCCGGGAGGCGCCGGGAAAATCAGCTACGTGAGCTGATTCTCACACCCCCCCTTTGCTATCCTCCCTTTCGCCCGACCTGAGTCGAGCGGGGGGGGTCTCTAGAATATACCAGAAACGCAGACGCTCTAGCACGCCTCAACGTGCCAGCGGGGCTCGGTGGCGGAATGTAAGGAGAAGAGATGCACAGCCCTCCCCGCAGAGGAAGAAGGGGTATGGGATGGAATGGTGATTTTCCAGAAGCACCTGCGCACAGAGGGCTGGTGCGTCACTGTCCGCGCTCCCCTCTTGGGCCCCTCTTGGCGCCTCTTGGGAGCCTCCTGGGCCTCTCTTGGGGGCCTCGGAGGTCCTGTTGGGTGGGCCTTCAGGGCCTTGAGCCGCCTTAGACATTGTGACGACCAAGGCAAGTATGCCAAAGTCATACAGCACCTAATGTATTGAATGAGGTTTGCCTCTTGGGCTGACCCCCAGTGCCTCCAATACGGCGTGAGAGGCCCCCACGTGAGCCCCAGGCCAGCACGGTCTCGTCCCGCCCGCCGTCCCTCGTTCGCACGGCATGCGGTTGAAGTTGAAATTGCCGCACACGTATTGCTGCATCGCCCTTGCTTTTGAGCCCCCAGGACGCCCCCCTGGGCCACCAGGAGTCCCAGCTCCTTCTCTGGGGATGTTGGAGACGGCTCGGGTGGGTTGGGCTTTATGGTGACCCACGCGAGGAATGCCAGCGCCCAGGGGAGCGTAGCCTCGGGGAACTCCTCTCCGTGCTCAAGACACGGTGGCGGGTCATACGTGACTGAGGGAATCGATTCTACGTCCACCAGTGGTGGTGACGCTGCCGGCAACGACAGGGGTGACGGCGAGGAAGATGAGTGACGACGTGAGAGCGACGATGGCATTGACCACGAAGGTATTGATCCTTAGAGCTCAGGATAAGTGGGCGTCACTTGCCTGCCTTCGTCAACCTCGCATGGCCCAGTTCCGAATCTGCGGGTGGGACGTTCGCTGCCTTTCTGGCTCTCGACCATTCCGATCCGATCCATCTATCGATTCCTCGCGATCCGCGTTCTCCTTCGTCGCCGAAACCTGAAGCTCAGCAGGACGGCACCAGAGGTGGAGCTTTGAGGTCTCCCGACAGGAGAGCTCCGGTTCCGATTCAGAGTGAGGCGCGCGCGCGGTATTCGGGCCAGCGCCTTGGATGGGGTGGGAGGTGGTCAGACAGGGGAGGGAGTGGAAGTTGCGGGCAGGGGGTGGTGGGGGAGAAGGAGGAGAGGGAGGGAGGTATGGAGGATAGGTACATCCCCGCGAAAAAAGTGTATAACAAAATCGGTGGATCAAATGAGATGGACACTGTCGCACTGATGGGTCCATGCTTGTCAAAGATAAGACGTGCCATTATGAAGTCCCTGCACATTTCATGGCGGGCGTCTAGAAGGAACGACACCACACGGCCGAATATCGAACCGCACGTGGCCGCATCACAATGAGGGATGACATCGGAAGAACATCCAGGAATAAAGTTGCATCCGCCTCCCAATGTTGCCAGAAGGCGCGTGGACCAATAATATATGGGCCACCTGGCCCTGGCCACCATTCCTGCACGTTGCCAACGTTGGCAGGCGGACTCCACTTAATGTTCCTCTTGTGGGCGTCGCTTGTGGCAGACGGCTCAATGAGATCGTCTTGCAGTTTTTGTTATGACTCTTGTCGCGGCTGTGCAGGACGGGGGAGCAGGGAGGATGTGGAAGGGGAGATCCTCCTCCTCATCCTCCTCCGCCTCCTGCGCCGTGCGGGCGCAAAGGCGGGCCTCCCCCGCTGCCCGCGCTGCGCTGCGCGCGGCCTGCACGGCGCGACGCACGGACCCTGACCACTTCTCATTGCCTCCGAGGAGCCTCCGAGTGGCTTCAGGGAACAGGGCCCTCAGGCGGCCTCGGACGGGAAGGGCCAGAGAAAGCCTCAGGAACGGAGGAGCCCCCGCCGGGAAGGAGAGGCAGAGGGCAGCCTCAAGGGGCCTCGGAGAGAAGGAACGGAGGGGGCCGCAAGGCCAAGGGAATGGGAAGCGGAGCGCAAGCCCAGCAGGCTCCCACCCCAGACCACGGGTCCTAAGGCCCCAACACCGCCCCCACCACCACCCCCACCACCACCCCCACCACCACCTCCGTAGCCATTTTGGCTCAAGTCCGTAGCCGTTTTGGCACGAGACCTGACCTTACTGGCGTGGGGGAGTCAGCGGCCCCAACAGTGACGCCTCACTGCCTGGTCAGGGAGGCATTTTGCTTTGCAGAGCTGGTTTTTCCCAGCTACTGCTGCTTTCTTCTCAATCTGTGTGCGCGCACGGCTGATGGTCCCTGAGCCGCCCAAGGGTCCTCCTCGGCAAGCACGCGAGCGGCCTCACTCGCAGAGTGGGTACAAGACGTGCTATGGCAAGGATTCGTGCGGCTACCAGTACAACTTGGTGGAGTGGAGCCGATGTTTTCGCTGCAAGAAGTGGATTCGTGACATTGTTGTTCGTGACACTGTCCAGGCTCCTCCAAGACCCTGGAGGAGGACAGGCGAGCAACAAACTCAAGATGCATGGCAGCTGGTCGGCAAGAGCGGCAAGGGTCGCAAGGGAGGTCAGACGGCCGATCAGGATGATGCTGAGTCCCCAGGTGGAGGCGGAGATGTACCTTCGAAGCCTGGTCATTGGCACGGCAACGGCGGCTCGGCCGCTCGAATTGAAGGGAAGGGCGTTGACAGCAGGGCGGCCAAGCAGGAGTTTCTGTCTGCCGCCATCGAGCAGCTCACACTGGCTGGCCTGTGGCCTGAACACCCGCTGGTTGTGGCTGCCAAGGCCCAGATCCCCATCCTGTCGGCCACAGCCGATGACAGCCAGGGCCAGATGCCTTGGATGCGTGTGCGGTCTCATCAAGACAAGCTGGTGCACTACCAGGGCCAGCTCCAGTCTGCGAAGTCGACTGAGGCTTCGATCAAGCAGAAGATGGAGGAGCTCGAGCTGGACCTGGCGGAGTGCGTGCAGTCGCAGCAGAAGCTGGCCGAGTCCATCGAGCAGGAGGAGGAGGAGCTGCAGCGGCTACACCGCCGTGCGGTACTTCATCCTGTGGGTGCTGATGGTAAGACGGCCATCTCTGGCTTGGTGGAGACGCTGTTTGGCCATCTGCCCGCGGGATTCAGGTCGGCCAAAGCGGCCCAGTTCCAGTCCGTGGTCGACCTCCTGGGCGACCTGTCCGCGGCGGGGCTCCAGTACCAGCGGGATGAGGAGGAGCGCCAGCGGCAGGCGGCCGAGGCAGCTGCTCAGCGGGCGGCTGCTGGCGAGGCTGGAGATGGGGGTGCGACGTCCACGGCGATCGATTCCAGGGTGGCCGAGGACTGCAAGCAGCAGTGGAGAACCCCACGGCCCTGGCTAAGCGGTCCAGACGGGACCCCCCAGCCGCGGCGGCGCCAGACGCGCAGGACGTTCCTGTTCCTGGTGATGGGGCTGGCCAGAGTATGGACGTGGACTTATCCGATGCTGCCGAGGCTGAACCACATGGGAGGTAACCTGATCGGCATGGTGCTGGCGGTTTCTCCGCCGAGGTCCGATGCTGCGGCGTTTCCGTTTTCCAGTGCATGTTCACCTGAGGCTCTGGCGGGCACGTGAGGCAGGTCCGCCAGGACCGCGGTCGCTTTGGAGGAGATCGCGGGGAAGCAGGGTGGTCAAATTTGCAGCGAAGCTGGTCCCCTGCGAGGTGGACTGGAGATCCATGCCCGCCTGCCTGGTGTTCTTCCTCAGGCGGGTTTTCTTGGTTCGGCACCTCCTGCGGAGGGTCAGAGGTTCCAGCCGAGCGTGTACGGCATAGGCGTCCTGAGGTCTGGAGGATCTGCACGTCTAACATTACTTCGTGGGGGGTGGAGTGCGACAAGGGCTCCAGAGTCTCCCGCAGGCCGCTCCTGGAGGTCATTGACGCTGTCGAGGCCGACCTGTTTCTCTTCCAGGAGCATCACCAGTCAGAGTTTCATCTGGCAGACGTCCAGCATGCTTTGCAGAAGTCATGGCTGAACTCATTGCTCTCCCCAGCGGCGCCGTCGGGGCGTTCTGAGTCGGGCACGTCGGGAGGAGTTGGTTTGGCCACGCCGAAGTTATGGGGCCTCAGGGGCCTTGACGCCCTCCCTCCTGGGATCGAGCTACCTCCTGATCATCGGATTCGATTGGGGCTCTGGAGCGGTCTTTGCGTTGGGGGAGTCGTGGTCGGTTCGGTGTGTCTGCGCGCGGGGATCGGATGCAGGGGTCAGAACCTCACCGTCCTCCACAGCATTGGTGAAGTGCTTCGAGCGTATGGGATGCCATTCATACTGGGGGGTGATTTTCAGTTCTCTGGTGAGCAGCTTATCGAGTCTGGGTGGCTTGGGGATATCCAGGCCGAAGTTGTTTTCGATGGCTCTCGTTGGACGTGCCAGCTTGGAACGTCTCGATCTACGATTGATTATTTTGTTGTGTCGAGTGTCCTGAAGCCTTTCGTTGACAGTTGCTGCGTTGCGACATGGTCGACGTGCACGCGGCCGCACCGCCCAGTTATTTTGACAGTCAGTGGCAGCCCCAGGCAGGTGACGGTACCCAGGCTGAAGAAACCATCGTCACTCCCGCTATTTCGCCCTATCGGGTGTGACCCCAGGCCATTGGATTGGGATGATCTCTTGAAGGTTGTCAAAGACGGCAGTTGTTCCAAGGATATGCTGGATACTGTCACTTCCCAGTGGGCCCAGAGGGCTGAACTTACTTTAGCCCGAGTCCTCCAAGTGGAAGGTGATCCGCGTTACCGAGGACGAGGAGGCCCCCCCAAGGTGGTCCAGGCCCCCCTCCTAGGCCCGCCTGCGTCCACTCACCCTCGCGCCATCGGCGAAGGAAGGATGTGGCGGGTTTTTGAGAGGAAGCTCCAGGACATCTTGTATCTCTGGCACGGGCCACGGCCCACCTTGGGGGGTTTGCAACAAGCTGGGCTGATCCTCAGGAAGTTGGTGAACTATGCGTCCCCGTTCACTGATTGCAAGCACTGGGAGTCCTGGAGGCTTCGGATCTTGGCTGTCAACCCTGCTGTGTCCTCGGGGCTCAACGAGTTGATCTGGCAGGCCCGCAAATGGGCCCAAGAACATGAGCATCACGCGGCCTCAGAGAGGGCCAGGGCTTGGAGGTGCTGGGTGTCTGAGGCTCTTACTGGTGGGGCCCGACTTGGACACAGGTACACCAAAGAAGTTCCCAAATGGGCCACGCGTGGGTTATCTCAGCTCTCAGGGCCCAACGGTGTTCCTCTGGGTGTCCTTGGGAGAAGCTGAAGCGCGAGCTCAGAGTTGGCACGAGCACTGGGGAGTTGGTCAAGGTTTTTCCTGATCCCGATTTCAGCTGGTGTGAAGATGAACCAGAGCTCGAGCCACCTACTCACGAGGAGCTTGCTGCACTGGTCCGTTCGTGCAGTACGCATGCGGCAGTTGGGGTATGTGGGTTTCATCCTCGGCATTGGTCGTTTCTCGACGAAGGCGCCGTCGCAGTATTCCTGTGCATCTGGGAGCAGATGCAGCGCCTTTTCCACGTGCCCAGGTGCTGGGCACTACTGCTCATCGCTCTTCTGCCCAGGCCACCGCCAGACGGAGGGGATCGGCCTATTGGTATCTTCCCGTCTCCCCTCAGGATGTGGTCCAGGTGGGCCCGCTGGAAAGTTGCTGGCCCCTGGGAGCTCGGTCATCCTCGGAGGTTTTGGTTTGGAGATTCGGGCGCTTCCTGCGATATTTGCGCGTGGAAGCAGAGCTTCAAGGCGGAATTGGCTCGGGACCAGGGCAAGGCAGCAGGATCGTTGCTCTTAGACCTGGTCAAGGCTTACGAACACGTGCCTCGTCATGTGCTCGCTGCTGCCGCCCGTAGGCACCTGTTCTCGGGGAAAACGTTACGCTTCCTCCTGGCCACTTACAGCTTGGACAGGATGGTGTTGTTTGACAGGATCGCGACTGAGGTGGTTTCGACCAATCGGACGATTGTCGCTGGTTGCAGTTGTGCTACGTCGTTGCTGCGCCTCGTGCTTCTATCCCCTGCTGATGCCGTTGTTCAGCGGTTTACGTCGGTCGATCTCGCTATTGTGGTTGATGATTTGCAGCTGCAGAGGGTTGGGGATGCTTGGGAAGTCGCTCGCGATCTCA